TTTTCTTCTCTGGGCAGGGAGGGGAAAACACTTAAAATCTATTCTTGCAGTGATTTTCAAGTTTCTGATCTATCTTGTTATTAACTGTATGGGTAGGAATAGCTGTCCTGAGTGTATTCCTGCAGTCAAAATGACATTTTGTTGACATTTGTTGTTTTTGAATAACATCTCCCCCAAAACACTCACTGCCCCGGCACTGAGTCCCCTTCATTCTGTTCTCTGCCTCTGTGAGTGCAACCTCTGTGGATGCCACATCTGAGCAGGTCATATGAGGTCTCTGGTCTGCTCCCATCCATGGTCCATGTCTCTGGGGTGATTCATCCCTTTGGGGAGTTTTGAGATTGCCTCGCCCTAGAAAGAGTCTGATACCCCAAGGCCTTAATGAGCGTAGAAGCTGAGGAGGCAAGAATTTGTTTAGCCTCTCCTGCTAAACACCTCTCTCTTGGTGCATACCTTAACATAGGGGCTCTCTAGCCAATGACACTTAGAATAAAAAGAAAAAAAAAAAAAAACAGAACTGCCCCACAAAATCAAACTCTGCCCTTCCCTTTCTGAGATAGTAGAGAAACCTACTTTGTTAGGTGATGTTCTTTCTTGTGGGGAGAGAAGGACGGCTTGGCCGCGGTTGCAAGCTCACTCCTAGAATTGTTTAAAAGCAAGAAACGACTACACACTCTTAGGTGGCGTGGAGCAAAATGTCTTATTTTCCACTCCCCTTTATTGGGAGCTAGTCACGTACACCAAACTGATTAATAATCCTAACATCCTCATTTCTTATCTTAAACTATAGAAAAGAAAGAAAGTCCGGGAAAGTGAGACAACCGTCTTAAGCTAGCCTCAGGCTATTCCTCTCTGAAGACCTAAAAGAACTATGCATTATCTGACTTCTATTGTTAAAGTTAAAGGTTAGGATAAACAGAGGAGTAAAACCTTTCTCTTCTATGTACTCAATTAAATTTCCGAGAAACTGGCTTCTTGACTGTTTTCTTATGGCTTTGGAGACCCTGCAGTTACTATGGAGTATTTTACTCGACATCATTACAATGGAGTTTTTCTTTTTACTCACATCAACCTTTGAGTCATGTCCTCTGCACAGATGGGCCGTTTCAACCCTTATCTGACAGGCTGACTTGACTGCACAGTCGGGGTTCCCTGTAGGAGGTTTTTACGCCTGGCCTGCAGGCCCTCACTGTGCTTTCCCAGGTCGCTTAGGGCTTCGACAAAAACGCATAATACTCACAAGTCTTTTCGCTCAGTTTCTGGAATTAAAAGAGCACATTTCATTTAATTTTTATAGGGGTTTACCCCACACTACTTTAGCTTGATTTCACCCCAGATTTCCTGGTCTTTAATTTAACCATAACCCCCTTTGGACATAAAACACCCCTTCCCATCTTTCTAAACAAATGTTCCTGGGACCACATTTGAAGATTTGTATGTAGTTTGTTTTTTTTGCCCTGTGGGTGTGTAGTTGTTTATGTATTGCTTTCATATTGCTGTGTTTCCCTGAACATAAGACCTACTGAAAAAATAAGCCCTAGCAGGCTTTCTATGCATTTGTTAAATATAAGCCCTACCCCGATAATAAGACCTACCCCCATAATAAGACCTAGTGATGGGCGTGGCTATGTAGATACGCCATGGGTTTCGGCTCTGAGACGAACACATCCCCTGAAAATAAACCCTAGTGTGTCTTCTTGAGACAAAATAAATTTAAGGCAGTGTCTTATTTTTGGGGAAACATGGTAGTACTGAGTATTTATTTATTTCTAAGACAGAAATTCACTCTTTTACCTGGCTGGAGTGCTGTGGCATCTGCCTGGCTCACAGCAATCTCACTCTTTGGTTTAAGCCATTCTCCTGCCTCCTTCTTCATCCCCACCCCCTCATCTCCTCCCTCTTGCTAGGCTATATTTGTGTGTGTTTTCATGTGGGTATGTAGTTGTTTATGTTTTGGTTTCATATTAGCACTGAGTATTTATTTATTTTTAAGATAGAAACTCACTCTGTTACCTGGGTGGAGTGCTGTGGTATCTGCCTACCTCAGAGCAACCTCAAACTTTTTGGATCAAGTGATCTTCCTGCCTTAGCCTCCCAAGTAGCTGGGACTATAGGCACCTGCCACAATGCCTGGCTATTTTTAAAGATGGGGTCTCTCTCTTGTTCAGGCTGGTCTTGAACTCCTCAGCTCAGACAGTCTACCCACCTTGGCCTCTCGGAGTGCTAGGATTACAGGCACCTGCCATAATACCTGGATATTTTTAGACATGGGGTCTCTCTCTTGTTCAGGCTGGTCTCGAACTCCTCAGCTCAGGCAGTCTGCCCGCCTTGGCCCTCTCAGAGTGCTGGGATTACAGGTGTGAGCCACTGAGCCTGGCCTTGTTTTTCCAATTTTGCTGTATTTGACTTAGGAGAATGTTCTCTAAATCCCTGCAAGTTGTTACAAAGGATGCAAAATTTCCATCTTTTTTTTGGCTGAATAGTACTCCTTGGTGTACGTAAACCACTTGGGTTGGGTCCCCATCTTTGCAATTGTGACTTGAGCTGCGGTAAACATTCTAGCGCAAATGTCCTTGTGATGTTTTTATGTACAGGTTATCCTTATGCGATTCTCAGGTTTCCTGTGCAAATTATGCCCGCCAGGTGCCCTGTGACTTGGTCATTATTTAAAAGTAAAACGTCGAATACAGTTTGTGCCAATTTTTGCCAAGTCCGGGCGAAGAAAGTGGATCTTACATTGATGGATTGAATCAGCCTACGTGGCTCCGTCAAGCCCTAGAACACAGGGGGCTCTATCAAGAACATATCATATTTCACAGTTTTGTTCTACCCTTTGCAAAAAACCTGTATTTTATTTTTCATAGTGAACAGTTTGCAGATGATCTTGACTTATGTACATTTTTCCTTTTAGCTGGAAATAATGAAAGCAAAGCCCAAGAAATTGTGAGCAGGATTAAAGAAGAAACCTTGAACAGCAAAGGTATGGACGAATCAGCCGGGGGCCCCTTCTCCTGGGACACAGTGGTTTGAGTTGTTCCTGGTCAGCTGCTGACTTGTGCTGTGGGACTAGGCATGAGGGGACACGGATGGTGAACACCACATGCTATGTGGCATTTGGGGAGAGACGTCTCTGTTTTTCTGGTTCTGCGTTGGGGAGCAGGATAGATAACAGTAATGCAGCCATAGCATCGCTCAGTTCTGACACCTGCTCGGGATGGCGTTTGGATGTGTTAGATAGAGCTCTTCGGTGAATATAGGTGCTGCGGAAGCAGGACCCTGTTCTGTTCTTCTCTGACTTCTGAGGCACATGCCAGCAGGTGCCTCTGCTGGGTGGGAATCCTTGACTTAAGATAAATCAAACAGAAATATCTTTGACATTAAGATACTCTTTTATTTGTTTTTGAGACGGGGCCTCACTATGTCGCCCTCAGTAGAGTGCTGTGCCGTCACAGCTCACAGCAACCTCCAACTCTTGGACTTAAGCGACTCTCTTGCCTCAGCCTCCCAAGTAGCTGAGACTACAGGTGCCTGACACAACACCTGGCTATTTTTTGCTGTAGTTGTCATTGTTTAGTTGGCCCAGGCTGGGTTCCACCCTGCCAGCCTCAGTGTATGTGGCCGCCTCTGTAACCACTGTACTAAGGGCTCCGAGGTGCTCACTGTGGTTTTGATTTGTGTTTCTCTGATGATTAGTGATATCCATCCCCTTTGTCAGCCATACAAAGGCTGTTTCTGGTCTCAGGCTTTTGGGACAGTCAGTACATTCCCAAGTAATGCTTCTGTTTGGCGTGTTATAGTTAAAAAAAAAAAAAAAGAAAAGCCGGTTACGTGCCACACCTTTTGGGGGTGGGACATAATTATAAGAGGGACTTTCCCTAACAAGTGTCAATGTAAACCTGGTCCTTTTTTTTTTGTCTGGGGCTGGGTTTGAACGCACCACCTCCACCTCCGGCATATGGGGCCGGCGCCCTACCCTTTTGAGCCACAGGCAGCACCCTAAACCTGGTTCTTGGTACCCTCGATGAATCCCCAACAATTAAAAAGAAAGAAAAGAAAATGCCTGGTATCCCCTTGGCCGTGTGAATTTGAGAGGGCGTCTGACAGCATCCCGGATGGACGGGTTTCCTGTCTGCAGGGACTTTTGATTCTTTCTAATAAACTGTGGGAGTGACTGAAATGGAGCCAGGGAGAGTTGTGCTCAGTCAGCTGTGCCCTTGTGTCACCTCCTTGCAAATCTCTACAAAGCACTTGTTGTCACACTCTGCCGAGGGCTGGGGCGTGCTGCAAGGTTGACTTTGGAAGTTGCTCAGAGGGACTTCCCCTCAGCTGGATCCGCTGTGCAACCGGGAAGTTCCTGGGGGTGGGGAGGTGTTTATTCTCTCTGTGATATGCAGGGGCAGAGGGATTAGTTATTGGGTCATGGACTCTGTCCTCCTCCCAGTCCCCTTGCTGGAAGCATCACCTCATTATATGGGGATTTGAAGGGGAGTGGCGTCCTGTAACACAGCCAACCCCAAAGCTTCTTCTTTGGACCAGACTAGGTTCCCAGCCCCACCAGTGAGTCAGGGCCTCAGGGGAGCAGCCAAAAATTTGTGTACGTCAACCCCCGTGGGGCATCCTTGA